CTGTCTTGTTATCTGAAGATGGACTTATATAAATATGTTTTTATTTTATTATTTTCATTCAGCCTGGATATGGGTATATGTATATGTGTACATATTTATGTGTATGTATATATAACATTTTGTTTATATGTGCGCGTATTTAATTACGGACTTATATTTTTTTCTTTATCCTGCAACTGCATGACAAACGGGAGGGGGGCTACGTCTGGATACACTCTGCTTTCTGCCCTCCAGCTTCTACTCATCGTGTTCGTTTGTCAGATGTATACATTGTCTAATTGTTGAAATAGTAGAATAAATAATAAAGAAGGAAAAAAAATAACATAGCGACATCACTAAGTAACACTTGCGATCCTATTGGCTAACGCTCCAGCACATTGTACGTGATAGGCTAAGGGGCGGGACATCTCTAAGCGGTTGTAAGCATTGTTGCAGAAAAAATGCTGCACCAAAGTATTACTGTATACTACTGTGTGATGTTTAACTTTGAGATTGTTTTTTAATTGTTTTTTAATAGTTTGTCTTTCATTTTTTCCTTTTCTAGTGTAACACTCTATACTTTGTGTTATAGAGAAAGTGTATTATGTTCTAACCCACCTGAGAGGGCAGGAAGGTGAGAGCGTGTTCAATGAGCAGCCGCATGAATCTCTTTGAGTAGAAGATGAACTCATCCCGGCTGGTTTCTTTGTTCCTGTTCCATAGTATCTGTGTGTTACTGAGTTTTAAAGCTCCCCTATCATACTGTTTTCAATATATTACAGGTCTCAGATATATCCAGAGCCTGTCTCTGATTGGCTGAAACACCAAACAGATCATTGCAGCATTACCCATAATCCCCTCTGTTTCAGCCCTGTTTCCAAAGTGCTGATTCTCTGTCTGTTACTTTAGATGAAAATAAGGAGCCCCTCCCCACGCCCCTCTGAGAGAGATTTGGTTACAAAGAACTCAATGGTGCTCTAGGAGGAGATTCAGGTGATAAGGGGGGGGGGGGGGGGGGTTACCTTGGTTGCTGATTGGCTAATGGCTACACAAGACAAAACATCGTTATGACATCACAAAGTGGCCAAAATCTGATCAGCTCGTTTTCAGACAGGTTTTTATAGAAATGGATCAAAAAGAGAGAGAATCTTTGTTCCTGAAACTTTCAGAGTCTCTTTCCACAGAGGGGACACATGTTGATGAAGAAGAGAGATGAAGAAGAGGGGACACATGTTGATGAAGAAGAGACATGAAGAAGAGGGGACACATGTTGATGTAGAAGAGACATGAAGAAGAGGGGACACATGTTGATGAAGAAGAGACAAGACATGAAGAAGAGGGGACACATGTTGATGTAGAAGAGACATGAAGAAGAGGGGACACATGTTGATGAAGAAGAGACATGAAGAAGAGGGGACACATGTTGATGTAGAAGAGACATGAAGAAGAGGGGACACATGTTGATGTAGAAGAGACATGAAGAAGAGGGGACACATGTTGATGAAGAAGAGACATGAAGAAGAGGGGACACATGTTGATGTAGAAGAGACATGAAGAAGAGGGGACACATGTTGATGAAGAAGAGACATGAAGAAGAGGGGACACATGTTGATGTAGAAGAGACATGAAGAAGAGGGGACACATGTTGATGAAGAAGAGACATGAAGAAGAGGGGACACATGTTGATGAAGAAGAGACATGAAGAAGAGGGGACACATGTTGATGGAAGAAGAGACATGAAGAAGAGGGGACACATGTTGATGAAGAAGAGACATGAAGAAGAGGGGACACATGTTGATGTAGAAGAGACATGAAGAAGAGGGGACACATGTTGATGAAGAAGAGACATGAAGAAGAGGGGACACATGTTGATGTAAGAAGAGACATGAAGAAGAGGGGACACATGTTGATGAAGAAGAGACATGAAGAAGAGGGGACACATGTTGATGAAGAAGAGACATGAAGAAGAGGGGACACATGTTGATGAAGAAGAGACACTGAGAAGAGGGGACACATGTTGATGAAGAAGAGACATGAAGAAGAGGGGACACATGTTGATGAAGAAGAGACATGAAGAAGAGGGGACACATGTTGATGTAGAAGAGACATGAAGAAGAGGGGACACATGTTGATGAAGAAGAGACATGAAGAAGAGGGGACACATGTTGATGAAGAAGAGACATGGAGAAGTGGATTTTGCATAATAGGTGACCTTGAGTGACCCCAGTGTACCTGATGATGGAGTGCAGCCCTCTGACCTGAGCACACAACATCGACACAGAACCTCCACTAACAATGAGCCACAGAAGGTACATGAAGAACACGTCTCAGCGTACCTGACACCGAGCTGCACAAAGAGGGTCAGAGAAAGAATAAAATGAGGTACAAATGTAAAGATAGCGAAGCACTAAGACCATTTATTTCTTTACTCTCATTTAGATATAAAGGTACCTATATTGTGTCACTGTAGTGTACTATAAGGCCGGGGACAGAGATGGATTCTGGCACCTTGAGAAGCATTGTTACTGGATTACATTGTACATTTAGTTTGATTGTATCTCCACATGCTTACGGTGTCTATGTCTGTCTTTGTGGCGCACTTTGATGCAAAACCAAACAAGCTTTTTAGATGAAACCTTCTCCTTCTGTCCTCGTGTTACAGCTTTCTGACACACGGTGGCGCCACCCTCTCATGTTTCAACAGCGTCTCCTCCTCACCTCCTCCAGCTGGCTGTGCACGTGCTGCACGACCAGATCAATGGCCACCATGTTCCCTCTGCCTGAAAGCAACACAAGAAGCACATCAACTTCAGGAAGGTTCCTACCAGAGTGAAATGACTCGGAAGAACCTCGGTGTCCGCCATGATAAGAGCTGTTCTAATGCTTGAGAAAGGAGCTTCAATGCTTCCTTTATTATCTCCTTAAGTTAAGGAAACACTGGAGCATCCTTTAGCAAAGGAAAGGAGGTAATGCTGACTCCCCGTGATGCACGTTCACATATATAACACATAGTGACCAGCAAACACAGATCACATGGGCTACGCTTATTAAACACTTTATGTCTAATGCCATGAAGTCCTTTTATGTTTTGAACTTTCAACAATATGTTAAACCTAATAGAGAAACATGAACACTTATTTCTGTAAGACTATCAAATATAGTTTCACAGTGTTTACTGAGCTCTGTGTTTTAATTCAACATGTTTGAATGGTGACATGCACAGTAGTAGATGTGTAGGCCGGACAAGTTATGTCTATAATGCATAAATGATTGCTTATTGATGCATTACATAATGATGTCACTATGTTCAGGAAGTAAACAAAGGGGTCCAATGGAGGCCTTTCCGCAGTATATGTTGATTTTCTGAGCTTTCATGACAAACGTAATGGAGCAGAGTGAAGCGTCACCTCGGGGCACCACGATGTCGGCCAGCCTCATGGCGGGCTCGATGTTCTGCTCGAAGGCCGGCTTCACGAACTTGTGGTACTGCTTGATGACGCCCTCGATGTCGCGGCTGCGCTCCGTGATGTCTCTGTGCCGCCGGCGCACCAGACGGATATCTGAGTCCGTGTCCGCGAAGATCTTCATATCCAGGAGCTGCAGGGGAGGAAAACAAACACACACATACAGAGAGGGCAAGAGTGCACACATCCTTTACTCAAGTAGAAGTACAGATACTCGTAGGGATGTAACGATACCAAAAACTCACGGTACGATAATATGGCGATAACAAGTCCACGGTATGATATTTATTGCGATATTGAAAAATAACGAAAAAGGCGTGGAGGCGTGTGGCGCAGTGTATTGTGCGTTGGTGTTCGGATCAGGGGGTCACAGGTTCAAACCCCACTGCAGTCAGCATGTCGTTGTGTCCCTGAGACACTTCACCCCAAATGCTTAACACCGGCTTCATCGCTCTGATGAGCTTTCCTCCGGGCACAGTGACGGAGACACGGTGCACGGTTACCTGTCCGAGCGGGACCTCCGCCTCCACCGGGATCCCGAGAGCTCGGAACCGGCACCGGCTGCTGGGAAAGCCATGGATGGAGTCCGTCTGAACCGCTGTGGGATTGTGGGTAATGTAGTTCCTCGTCACGTGCTTCCTCACAGCTGTTCTCTCAAGGATCACGCACACACCATCCTGACCACCACAGTGTGGAAAATACAAGTACAGCCTGGCAAGTACACAAGTATTATCATCACAATATACTTTAGGCAGAACGACCACTTGAGGATCACTGGATTATAATGAGTGATACAGAAAGGGAAACACCATTTTAATTTTGCAGATGATAAAGATGGAGCTAACTTTAATTTAACTTAATTACTTTTTTAATGCCAGATCTCATAATAGTTCAGGTAAGTCTATTTTATTTTTGTGTTAAAGGTCCCATGTCATGGCCATTTCTACGGATCATAATTCCATTGTTGAGGTCTGAATAGATTTATATTGTGCAATGTTCCAAACTCACATTGGTTTCTCATACAGCATCTCTGTATAGTATGTGTATTCACTCTCTGTCCTAAATGGCTTGTTGGAGCTCCTGCCCCCCCCCCCCCTCCCTGTGAGCCCAGTGGCCGTCTGCGAGACAGCGAGACACAGCGAAACCCAGCCCGAACACACACACACACACACCCGCAGCCTGGCTGGGAGTTTGTGTGTGTGCTCACACAAACTCCCAGCCTCGCCGCGTCCCGCCGTCTCAGGGAGGAGAAATCGGCGGAGCTGCAGCTGAGAAAAGATTGAGTGTGTGTGTGTGAGGAAGTGTGTGTGAGGAAGTGTGTGTGAGGAAGTGTGTGTGACGAAGTCCAAATGGACCAATCCATGGACTTAACGTAACGTAACGGCTCCATGGATTGGTCCATTTGGACCAATGGGTCCATTTGGGTATGGGCACGTCACTGTACCCAGGAGGGGGCAGCATAGAGGAAAACACAGATATTGTGATGTTTTTATTTATTATAGAAAGAGGTAGAGACAGTAAGAGAGAGAGAGAGAGAGAGAGAGAGAGAGAGAGAGAGAGAGAGAGAGAGAGAGAGAGAGAGAGAGAGAGAGAGAGAGAGAGAGAGAGAGAGAGAAATCACACATTAGAGATCATATTTGATAAAGCAGATTGTCTGGTGTCGTCACAGTTCAGTTCAGTCCGTAGAGATTAGGTGAGATTTCCTCTCGTCTGCGGATCTCTGATCGCTGGACGGATTTATTCCACATCTGATTCACATTAGAGTTCATCTGGGTCAAAAAAATATCCCATAATTCCACATAATCCACCTTTTCCAGGAATGTGGCTACGATATCCTTCCAAAGGTTCCTGTGAACACGGAGAGAGATTAAGATTTATTTTCACATTTAAAGCAAAAGGTCAACATTTCTGAACCTGCCAAACGTATTACACTTGGACATAGGTATTTGTATTACACTTTTTGTTCACAAACACACAGGAGACAAGACAATGAAAACAGGCAAAATGGAGAAGAAAACAAGAATGAAAGTTACAGTGTAGTGTAAGAAATAAAAAACGATTTGATTAAATACAAGGCACAAACACGGCCGGTTATAAGTACGTTTATAAGTGTAAACGTACAAGATTGTGGACTTGTCATTGTTGTACAAAGCTGTTCCCCCTGTTTACAGTCTTTATGCTAAGCTAAGCTAACCAGCTGAAGCTTGCCATACAAAGGAGAGAGTCTTGTTTATGAAACTCTGCTACAAAATGGATGACCATATTTCCCAAAATTACACCTAACTGTAGGGGAAATATTTTCCTAGTCCCATACGGTTGCCTGTTTACAGTCTTTATGCTAAGCTAAGCTAACCAGCTGATGCTTGCAAACGAGAGAGTCTTGTTTATGAAACTCTGCTACAAAATGGATGACCATATTTCCCATAATGCTCCTAACTGTTGGGGAACTATTTTCCTAGTCCCATACCTCTGACCCAGTTGATCAGTCTGCCCTCACTGAGCTCAGGCCTGCACCTCGGGCTGCTCTCAGTGTGTTGTCTCCCTGCCTGTTGGCGTCTCTCTGAGCTAAATACACGGGTCTGGGGTAGAGATCTTGAGCACAGATCTTCTTGTGAATTCTCCGGCCGAAGCTCCAAATAAACCGTCAGTGTTTGCCATCAAAGTTCCTGCTCTCCTCGTGTCTCTCTGAGTCTCCATTGATCCAGAAGTTTCCATCACACTCACCCTGCGCTCTGCTGAGCAGCTGCAGGTTGCGGCCCTCCTCCTGCACCTGCAGCTGCAACACCTGCTGCAGCAGCTCCTGCCGCAGCGTCTCCTGCACCAGACCCATCCTCTGCAGCTTCTCCGCGTTCAGACGCAGCAGCGCTCGGCCTGACGGACACACACATGCAGCTTCTATTATATCGTAACTCTGTAATCCACCTTCCTCTCAATCTCAATCTCAATCTGATCAAATCAAATCAAAGTTTATTTATAAAGCACATTTAAAAGCGATTTTTGGTCGGGCCAAAGTGCTGTACATGTAATAAATACTACATCAGAGGTGACAAGTAGTGGAGTACAAATACTTCCTTACTGTACTTAAGTACATTGTTCTGGTATCAGTACTTTACTCCACTACTTATTTTTCTGACGACTTTTTACTTTGACTTCTTACATGTTGAACACAAATACCTGTACTTTCTACTTCTTACATGTTGAACCCAAATACCTGTACTTTCTACTTCTTACATGTTGAACACAAATACCTGTACTTTCTACTTCTTACATGTTGAACACAAATACCTGTACTTTCTACTTCTTACATGTTGAACACTAATACCTGTACTTTCTACTTCTTACATGTTGAACACTAATACCTGTACTTTCTACTTCTTACATGTTGAACACAAATACCTGTACTTTCTACTTCTTACATGTTGAACACTAATACCTGTACTTTCTACTTCTTACATTTTGAACACAAATACCTGTACTTTCTACTTCTTACATGTTGAACACAAATACCTGTACTTTCTACTTCTTACATGTTGAACACAAATACCTGTACTTTCTACTTCTTACATTTTGAACACAAATACCTGTACTTTCTACTTCTTACATGTTGAACACAAATACCTGTACTTTCTACTTCTTACATGTTGAACACAAATACCTGTACTTTCTACTTCTTACATGTTGAACCCAAATACCTGTACTTTCTACTTCTTACATTTTGAACACAAATACCTGAACTTTCTACTTCTTACATGTTGAACACAAATACCTGTACTTTCTACTTCTTACATGTTGAACACAAATACCTGTACTTTCTACTTCTTACATGTTGAACACAAATACCTGTACTTTCTACTTCTTACATGTTGAACCCAAATACCTGTACTTTCTACTTCTTACATGTTGAACACAAATACCTGTACTTACTTCTTACATGTTGAACCCAAATACCTGTACTTTCTACTTCTTACATGTTGAACTCAAATACCTGTACTTTCTACTTCTTACATGTTGAACACAAATACCTGTACTTTCTACTTCTTACATGTTGAACCCAAATACCTGTACTTTCTACTTCTTACATTTTGAACACAAATACCTGTACTTTCTACTTCTTACATGTTGAACCCAAATACCTGTACTTTCTACTTCTTACATGTTGAACACAAATACCTGTACTTTCTACTTCTAACATGTTGAACACAAATACCTGTACTTTCTACTTCTTACATTTTGAACACAAATACCTGTACTTTCTACTTCTTACATGTTGAACACAAATACCTGTACTTTCTACTTCTTACATGTTGAACACAAATACCTGTACTTTCTACTTCTTACATGTTGAACACAAATACATGTACTTTCTACTTCTTACATGTTGAACACAAATACCTGTACTTTCTACTTCTTACATGTTGAACCCAAATACCTGTACTTTCTACTTCTTACATTTTGAACACAAATACCTGTACTTTCTACTTCTTACATGTTGAACACAAATACCTGTACTTTCTACTTCTTACATGTTGAACACAAATACCTGTACTTTCTACTTCTTACATGTTGAACACAAATACCTGTACTTTCTACTTCTTACATGTTGAACCCAAATACCTGTACTTTCTACTTCTTACATGTTGAACCCAAATACCTGTACTTTCTACTTCTTACATGTTGAACACAAATACCTGTACTTTCTACTTCTTACATGTTGAACACAAATACCTGTACTTTCTACTTCTTACATGTTGAACACAAATACCTGTACTTTCTACTTCTTACATTTTGAACACAAATACCTGTACTTTCTACTTCTTACATGTTGAACACAAATACCTGTACTTTCTACTTCTTACATGTTGAACACAAATACCTGTACTTTCTACTTCTTACATGTTGAACACAAATACCTGTACTTTCTACTTCTTACATTTTGAACACAAATACCTGTACTTTCTACTTCTTACATGTTGAACACAAATACCTGTACTTTCTACTTCTTACATGTTGAACCCAAATACCTGTACTTTCTACTTCTTACATGTTGAACTCAAATACCTGTACTTTCTACTTCTTACATTTTGAACACAAATACCTGTACTTTCTACTTCTTACATGTTGAACACAAATACCTGTACTTTCTACTTCTTACATGTTGAACCCAAATACCTGTACTTTCTACTTCTTACATGTTGAACTCAAATACCTGTACTTTCTACTTCTTGCATTTTGAACACAAATACCTGTACTTTCTACTTCTTACATGTTGAACACAAATACCTGTACTTTCTACTTCTTACATGTTGAACCCAAATACCTGTACTTTCTACTTCTTACATTTTGAACACAAATACCTGTACTTTCTACTTCTTACATTTTGAACACAAATACCTGTACTTTCTACTTCTTACATGTTGAACCCAAATACCTGTACTTTCTACTTCTTACATTTTGAACACAAATACCTGTACTTTCTACTTCTTACATGTTGAACACAAATACCTGTACTTTCTACTTCTTACATGTTGAACCCAAATACCTGTACTTTCTACTTCTTACATGTTGAACCCAAATACCTGTACTTTCTACTTCTTACATGTTGAACACAAATACCTGTACTTTCTACTTCTTACATGTTGAACACAAATACCTGTACTTTCTACTTCTTACATGTTGAACCCAAATACCTGTACTTTCTACTTCTTACATGTTGAACTCAAATACCTGTACTTTCTACTTCTTACATTTTGAACACAAATACCTGTACTTTCTACTTCTTACATGTTGAACACAAATACCTGTACTTTCTACTTCTTACATGTTGAACACAAATACCTGTACTTTCTACTTCTTACATGTTGAACCCAAATACCTGTACTTTCTACTTCTTACATGTTGAACTCAAATACCTGTACTTTCTACTTCTTACATTTTGAACACAAATACCTGTACTTTCTACTTCTTACATGTTGAACCCAAATACCTGTACTTTCTACTTCTTACATTTTGAACACAAATACCTGTACTTTCTACTTCTTACATGTTGAACACAAATACCTGTACTTTCTACTTCTTACATGTTGAACTCAAATACCTGTACTTTCTACTTCTTACATGTTGAACACAAATACATGTACTTTCTACTTCTTACATGTTGAACACAAATACCTGTACTTTCTACTTCTTACATGTTGAACACAAATACATGTACTTTCTACTTCTTACATGTTGAACACAAATACCTGTACTTTCTACTTCTTACATGTTGAACACAAATACATGAACTTTCTACTTCTTACATGTTGAACACAAATACCTGTACTTTCTACTTCTTACATGTTGAACACAAATACCTGTACTTTCTACTTCTTACATGTTGAACCCAAATACCTGTACTTTCTACTTCTTACATGTTGAACCCAAATACCTGTACTTTCTACTTCTTACATGTTGAACACAAATACCTGTACTTTCTACTTCTCACATGTTGAACCCAAATACCTGTACTTTCTACTTCTTACATGTTGAACACAAATACCTGTACTTTCTACTTCTTACATGTTGAACACAAATACCTGTACTTTCTACTTCTTACATGTTGAACACAAATACCTGTACTTTCTACTTCTTACATGTTGAACACTAATACCTGTACTTTCTACTTCTTACATGTTGAACACAAATACCTGTACTTTCTACTTCTCACATTTCCCAAACAGGCTGGTTCCTTTAGTTTGAATGTGTGTTTGGTGGCGTGATCATTATTATTTAGAGTCATTGCGTGCCTATAGAGAGGCGAAGTCCCTCCCCTTCCGGTGGACCTCCATGGGACCTTATTTCGGAAAAAGTATGTATTGAAGTCAATGGCGAGAGAAAGATTATCTCTCGATCCCGTTTGAATTGTTCCACGAATTACACATATGATGTTTGTCAATTTAAAAGATAATTTTCAAGTCAAAAAAATACAAATGTGTCGTAAAACTGTCAAGTAACACTTTCTTTTGTGTGAAACGCTCAATGAACTACATCTCCCGTCTCACACCACACAACATACTGTACACACAAGGGGAGTTAGTCGGTTCGTAAGAGCCAGCATGCGGGACCGGGACTCTGGGATTTGTAGTCTTTCTAGTTGCGTATTTTTCATAGTCTTATATTTCAACAGTTTTACGACAAATTGTGACTTTTTTAACATGGAAATTATTTGTTAAGATTGACAAACATCATATGTGTAAGATAATCTTTCTCTCCCCATTGACTTCAATACATACTTTTTCCGAAATAAGGTCCCATGGGTCGGAAGTAGATGGGCGGGACTTCGCCTCTCTACTGATTTGAACATGTTGATGAAGAAGAGACATGAAGAAGAGGGGACACATGTTGATGTAGAAGAGACATGAAGAAGAGGGGACACATGTTGATGAAGAAGAGACTTGAAGAAGAGGGGACACATGTTGATGTAGAAGAGACATGAAGAAGAGGGGACACATGTTGATGTAGAAGAGACATGAAGAAGAGGGGACACATGTTGATGTAGAAGAGACATGAAGAAGAGGGGACACATGTTGATGTAGAAGAGACATGAAGAAGAGGGGACACATGTTGATGTAGAAGAGACATGAAGAAGAGGGGACACATGTTGATGTAGAAGAGACATGGAGAAGAGGGGACACATGTTGATGTAGAAGAGACATGAAGAAGAGGGGACACATGTTGATGTAGAAGAGACATGAAGAAAAGGGGACACATGTTGATGTAGAAGAGACATGAAGAAGAGGGGACACATGTTGATGTAGAAGAGACATGAAGAAGAGGGGACACATGTTGATGAAGAAGAGACTTGAAGAAGAGGGGACACATGTTGATGTAGAAGAGACATGAAGAAGAGGGGACACATGTTGATGTAGAAGAGACATGAAGAAGAGGGGACACATGGTGATGAAGAAGAGACATGAAGAAGAGGGGACACATGTTGATGTAGAAGAGACATGAAGAAGAGGGGACACATGTTCCTCTCGTGTATCTGTCTGAAGAGTGATCACCTGTGATGGCGTGCTGAGAGAACGCCTCCACGTAGGTCAGGTAGTTGTGAGGACAGTGCTTCTTCAGCCATTTGCACACATCCTGCTGCGACCACATCACCACCGGCCGGATGAGGCTGGGCTGCGTCGGGCTCGTGTGATAAATCCCATAATTATCACTGGAGCGGTACTGCAGACAGAAAAACAAAGAAGAAGAACATGTATGAGAAGACAGGGCTGCGCAGAACGTCTCTTTCAGACATTCAAAGCGTCTCCAATGAAGCTTTCAATGTCTCGTCAAGGTTTATGATGAAAAAATACACATTTTCTGTAATTGTTGTTTAATAAATGTAGTTTATTCTGTTAGACTGCTGCTAGAAATATAAGGTGAAGCATTTGGTTAGATACAATCACAAAAAGATTATTACTAAAATTAATAACCAGTACTATCTTTTTATCGTGAATGTTGAATTGTAAACTTAACAACGCTCTCATGATTGGATCAAACGAGTCTCAAACTGATTATATGGAAAGTATATAAAGTTATTTGGACATTAAAGATGGAGCTCGAGCCGCCACCTGCTCCATAGCTTCTCTCTGGACACACTGACTGTACATTTATTTTTAATTTAATATTCCATTGCCTGCTCTCTTAATGTTAATAATATCCGGTCTACTGTATATTTTCTACTTTTTAATTCTATTTTGAGATGTTTAAATTCTAGTATTGTTTATTTGTTCTACTTCTGTGCAATGCCTTGTTTTGTGTTGTTGTTTTTTATGCTGCTGCAACGCAAACATCTCTCAATTTGGGATCAATAAAGTACCTCTTGTCTTATTTAGCTTAGCTTAGCATACAGACTGGAAACAGGGGGAAACTGCTAGCCTGGATCTTATATAGAATAGAATATATATTGTCATCATACAAAGTACAACGAAATGTATTTGGCAACTCTCACTGCTGTAACGAATAGACACAATAAATCAATAAGAGTGGTAGAAGCAGAGGTCGTAGCGATGACCGTGCAACGAGATAACATCCAGTGTCTTTGAGGGGTGGAGGTGTGTGTGTGTGTGTGTGTGTGTGTGTGTGGTGTGTGTGTGTGTGTGTGTGTGTGTAGGGGCGGACTGGGACTAAAATGTAGCCCGGTACTCTGGACCGGCCCACTTCGGTACCGCTAGTAATTTGTCAACGAGGGGGGGAGGGGGTGCTAGTGACTACCTCAGTACCACAGGTAAATACCTCTAGTAAATTGTCAATGGGGGGTGGGGGTGACTTATAAGTGACTTATCCAACCGGCCCACATCGTCCGACCGGCCCACTTCGCATTCGTCCCGATGGCCAGTCCGCCGTGTGTGTGTGTGTGTGTGTGTGTGTGTGTGTGTGTGTGACTGTGTGTGTGTGTGTGTGTGTGTGTGTGTGTGTGTGTGTGTGTGACTGTGTGTGTGTGTGTGTGTGTGTGTGTGTGTGTGTGTGTGTGTGTGTGTGTGTGTGTGTGTGTGTGTGTGTGTGTGTGTCTATATAGAAAACCTCCTACACTTCTGAAGCTCACGTTAAAAAGACAGATTGTGCTTTTCCAGCTCCTCCACTGCTCCTCATCCTGAGCGGATCTCAGGATCTCTCTTTATTCTTAAAAGACGCTCAGGGTGTGAGAAGCTGTGAGGGACCAATCAAAGTGAGCCTTTGATCAGTCAATCAGCGTTTAAAGATTCAGCAGCCTCAGCGCTTCCCTCTCAGAAGCTGGAAAGTGCTGCTTCTAAAAAAATAACTAAGGTGAAACTAAAAGCTGGCTTTCATTTGAAGTGGAGGTCGGCCTCGTGTCACACTGAGGACTGTCAAGATACTCTATCGTTTTTAGAGTTTATTTGAGATAAGAAATGCTCTTTAATAACAATTACTATTATATTTGTAAGTGTTTACCTTCATCAGCTCATGTTTCAGTGTGGTACGGCAACATCTAATCATTACTTTAATTATCCATTAATCTGCAAGTCATGTTTTAGAATAATTAACTAACTAATAGTGTGGTCAATAACAAGTCAGATAATAGTGAAAAATGTCACAGTTTTAATATGTTTTTGTCAGTTCAAGACACAAAGATATTCACTTGAATTTGATATAAAAACAGAGCACACAAAACCGCATTTTCTGACATTTAAAACTAATTTAATTTTAGTACGATATACATTTTGTCTATTGACTAATCAGTGCTGTTCTACATTATTGTGCAAATCGTTTTAAGATGTGATCTGAGCATTCATCTGAACAACCATAGCCATTCAAATAACCTTTAATAACATTTCCTCTACAGTAAATATATATTGATTTGCTTCAAAATGTCCTATTTGGATTTTCTTTTCAGTAAAACAATAAATACATCCTATAAGTTTTTTAAAAAGTGTCTACTGTGATGCAACACACCAACAAATGGATGAAATTAGTAAAGTTATAAACGGATTACACAAGTCGTTTTAGTTTCACTCAAGATGACGACTGAAAACTGAACTCGTCTCAAATTGTTGATTTGATTTCTTATTTTGTGTGTCTGCCTGTTTGGTGAGCACACAATGAGCTTCATTAGGTTCATCATCAACATTTACATCACATAAACTCTCCCCAAATTCACTTTTAAAACTCTGTCTCAGCAGTGAAGAGATAAGTTCCTCCAGGTCACTTCCATTATGCTAATTTCAAATCTCTGTTTGGAGAGCCTGGCTGCAGCTCGGCCTACACAGAGAGATGATAACGCACTTCAGATTAGCACAAAGGAAACGGTCGTGCTGTTCGAGGGTCACTTTTTTTCCCCCCCTCATGTAGAACTTGTTTAAAACTAAAAACAGTAAATAATCAAGCAATGGTTGCGTGGTGGGATTCTTTTTAAAGTAAAGTATTGAAATAGGCTTTAATAATATGTTAGGTGTACGTATGTCTGAGAATATATGATATTGAGGGATATGTATTTGTTGTTAGTGGAATCCAAGTTGCTTTATGGATAACTCAAAGTCTTAAAGAGGTGGGGCTTTGCAAATATGGCAACAATCTTCAAAACTTCATCAACCTCATTTCACATCTCGATCACATGCTAAATCCTATTGGAGTACATATTTCTGGTAAGTCAATACATCGATAGTCTATGTGCAATAACTGCATTTGTATACTCCTGGTTGAGGATGTATTTGACCATTTAAAAGGGTGCAAGCGCATCAGGTTTTCTGCTAAAGTCAGAGTTACTACGAGCTCGTTATTGTGAATATACTCGACTTATTTGTATATCTCTAAATATGATTGCATTGGAATTTGAGTTGAAAGACTATAAATGATCATATTTAATTAAAGCAAGGCCCCGTCCACACGGAGACGAAACGGGTTGTATCCGCTAAAGTTCTTTATCGTATAGACGGTTCGTCCACACGAGGCCGAAACGGAGCCGCGGCTTCGGCTAACCCGAAAACGATACACTTTGATAACGGCTCCCAAAGTGGGTATGGGGACCAAACGCTTGCAGCTCCGTGTGTACGCCCTATACGATCATAGCCCCGCCTCTCCTGCTCACCCCCGCATCATTGCTGATGCGTTTCGCCAACAACAACAACAACAACAACGGCGGATCACAGGGTTGCGTTCGTGCTCCAGACGCTACTGACCATGATGTTACAGATGTTGGTAATGGAGAACTACATGTTGCTTACTAGAAGGGCAACCAGGCAACCATGGCAACCATGCTCGCTGCTTTTGGTGTATTTTGTGGCGGATGTACAGCGCCACTTACAGGCCCGGCATATGTACTACAGCGTCTCCAGCGGGTCGAGCGGTCTCGTGTGGACGGACACGTTTATTGAGCCGATACCGTGTGGACGGAAGACTTTTTTGATATCGACTTCGGTTTGTTTTCGGTTTGTTTTCGTCTCCGTGTGGACGGGGCCTTAAGTGAGCTCACAATAAAACAGCAAAAGGAAAAGCGAAGGTAAGGAAAGTAGAGAGAGCAAAGTATCGTAGGAATAGGACAATGTGCAGGTGACAGAATAAACTTAAATCAAAGCCTTGAAAGGAAGAGAATTTTGAAGAGGAATGTCAGAAACTCTTTGCATCGTTTTATATGTTCATACATGTGGCAGAGGAGCTGCTTCTGTCACAACACACGGAGATAATGGGGATCAAAACACACAAACAAACAATCAAAGACACAATCAGAGCACTGAGCTTCCTGATTCCTGACTCACTCTGATCTACCATTATCTTGAAGGTTTTTAAAGCTTTTATTTATGGATCAGTGCGTGAATATTAAAGGGCCCATGTCATGGCCATTTCCACTGATCATAATTACATTGTTGAGGTATACTAAAATAGATTTATACTGTGCAATTTTCCAAACTCACATTGGTTTCTCATACAGCATCTCTGTCAAGCATGTGTATTCAGCAGTATTCACTTTCTCCACTAAACGACTCGTTGGAGCTCTTGCCCCCCCCCTCCCTGTGAGCCTAGTGTGCTCCGATTGGTCAGCTCGGCCACTCTGTTCTGATTAGTCAACCACCAGAGAGGCTCCGCCCGCTTTTTTCGGGGAACATCAGTGTTCCAGGCGTCGGTACAGCTGATATTTTATACTAACTAACCGAACTGAACCTACAACTGTTGTTATAGAAGAGTGTGACGGCCTCAGGGCCTTTGTCTTACGGTGGGGTGGAGCTGAAGAGGGTAATCAGCGCGATCACGGACACTTCCGTAGCCGGTGCTATTAATCCCAGCGGCCCGGAGTCTCTCTCCAAAGCGGCTGCAGAAGGACGAACTGAGCGACCCTCTCCCCTCGACCACCTATCTCTGCATTTACCACAATAAATGTGCCGTGGTTTTGTAAACTCGTGTATGTCTCCTTGCCTTTCCGTTGTGGCCTACGAGCCGACATAACAAAGAGTAAGTTATTTTTACCCGTTATAAACTACTACTGTTTGATGAGAAATCAAATCATGGTTTGCTATATATGAATTCAGGGAAGAAAGGATAGGCCTACTAAGTATTTCCATTAAACTTTATTTTTAGAAATGTACAAAATGAACATAAATATACATATATACACACGGTATATCATCCATTCCTCCTCCTCTTGCCTGCGCACAGCCGGTGCGGTGCGGTGCCTTTTAGCACGAGGCCTCAGTAGTAGTAGAATCCCTTCCCCGTCATGGATTGTCCGC